AAAAGACACAGAGGCAGGCGGATTTCTGAGTTCGAGGCCAGCCTGGTCTACAGAGTGAGTTCCAGGACAGCCAGGGCTACACAGAGAAACCCTGTCTTGAAAAACCAAAAAAAAAAAAAAAAAAAAAAGACACACCTGACATGTAGATGATCTGAAGGACATCATGTTCAGTGGAAGTAAGCCAGTCCGTAAAGCACAGGTACTGTCTGACATCACTTTCATGAGATTCCTAGAATAGTCATTTGTACAGGCAACACGCAGAAAGGCACTTGCCAGTGGGCTAAGAGAGGGGTTATGAAGTATTAATACTATAAGACACCCTTCAGCAAAGACAGATGCAAAAGTCCTGGAGAGGGGTGGTAGGGAAGGTTGCAGAACAGTGCCAACACTTGTCAGGATATATGCAGTTTAGTGGATGGATGCCTGTCCAGCATTGCTTGCTGGGAGGTGGTGCAGGCCTGTAATCCCAGCAATTGTGAGGCAGGGCACTAGGATTACTGGTCATCTTCCTCTACACTGAGATTGAACTTGAACTTGATTTGGGATCAAAAAGGCAATATAGTAGTGTAATTGTTTTGTTTCTGATCTTAAAACATGAAACAAAGTATCAATGTCTTTAAAAAAATTGGCAACCTTGAGATTCCAGTCAAAGTATGAGCACTTGTGGTTCTTTGTGCTGCGGTTTATTTCTAACTGTCTTGAGTGAGGGAAACCTCCCTTTCTCCAATTCTACTCCCATTCCAGTTTTCTTCAAGAAAACCACGAAGACTCTTTGGTAAAAACTTCGGAAGCGGGCTGGAGAGATGGCTCAGTGGTTAAGAGCACTGACTGCACTTCCAGAGGTCCTGAGTTCAAGTCCTGGCAACCACATGGTGGCTCACAATCATCTGTAGTGGGATCTGATGCCCTCTTCTGGTGTGTCTGAAGACAGCTACAGTGTATTCATATATAATAAATAAATAAATCTTTAAAAAAAAAGACTTGGGAAGCAGGATGAAATCTACTTTTTTTTACACAGGCTCCAAGTGCTCACAAAACATGTTCTTTTGCTAGTATGAAAGTTTTTAACCTTTTTGTTTTGTATTTTGAAATATTCATCAGCCATACTACATACTACATACTTTAGAACTTCAGTGGACTTATTACCTAGCATCTCAAGAGCTAATATCTCATATACCAGAGACTTCCAGATCTGACTCAGGAGCGATGCAATTAAGTAGATCACACTGCACTGGACTTTATCCACTTCACCTTTTTTTGCTCAATAACAAAACAAAACAAAGTACCATATAGTTGAATTAAAAGAATACATTTGGAAACCCTGACTTAGTTTTGAAATACAATGGCATTTTATGGAGAATAAAAAAGACAAAAAGAAGGACTAGAAGCATGTGGCTCATTGGTAGAGTGTGTGCCTAGCATGTTCAAGATCCTTTATAAGAGTTGTCATGATCATGTGTCTCTTCACAACAATAGAGCATTGACCAAAAGATCTGGTTTCTGGGGATCCTAGGCTCAATTCTCTAGCACCAAATTGGGTGGGAGAGAATGAAAGAGATTGCTAGCAATGACAGCTGGGTGATATTTGCAGTGGAAGATAGGAATTATCTGTTGAAGTCTGGTTCAAGCCTTCAAGGAGCATAGCTTTGCTAAGGAAAGGAGCTGTCAGACCCATTATACACATCCCAGCAAACAGCAGGAAGTCTTTGGAAAAACTGACTTTTTTTTTTTTTTCGAGACAGGGTTTCTCTGTATAGCCCGGGCTGCCCTGGAACTCACTCTGTAGACCAGGCTGGCCTCGAACTCAGAAATCTGCCTGCCTCTGCCTCCCAAGTGCTGGGATTAAAGGCGTGTGCCACCACCGCCCAGCCTGGAAAAACTGACTCTTAAGCCAGCAAGATGGCTCAGTGGATAAAAGTACTTGCCATACAAGTCTGATAACCTGAGTTTGATCCCCAGAAACCAGATCTTTTAGTCAATGTTCTATTGCTGTGAAGAGACACATGATCATGACAACTCTTATAAAGAAAAGCATTTAATTGGGGCTTGCTTACAGTTTCAGAGGTTTAACCCATTACCAACCTGGCAGGGAGCATAGCAGCATGCAGGCAGACATGGTATTGGAGAATGACACTGGGCCTGGCTTGAGCTTTTGAAACCTCAAAGTCCATTCCCAGTGACATACTTTCTCCAACAAGGCCACACCTAATCATTGTCAAATAGTGCCAATCCCCAGTGACTAAGCATTCAAACATGTAAACTTATGGAAGCCATTCCTATTCAAACCACCACACCAGATGAAAACAGCTGGATATGGAACTGGAGAGATGGCTCAGTGGCTAAGAGCAATGTCTGTTCTTCTAGAGAACTGGGGTTCAATTCCCAGTACCTTCTTGGTGGCTCACAACATCTGTAGCTCCAGTTCCAGGGGATCCAATATCCTCTTCTGGCCTCTGGCACTCAGACACACATTAAAAACAACAACAAAAATAGTAAACAAAGCTCAATATAGTGATGACTCTGTAATCACAGCATTCCTACACCAAGGCATCATCGAAGAATGGCAAAGAAGCTTTCCAGCCAGCTAGTCTGAAGGACGGGGCATTGCAAAAACAAGACCTTGCCTCAACAATATGAAAGGTGAGAATAACTCTAAAGTTGTCCTGTGACCTCCATACATGTGTTGTGACACTGACACACTGACACACACACAAATAAATAAAATCAGTTATTGCTCTGTACCTGAAAAGTCCTAAGTGCTTATAAAGGACAGTAGCATCACTTTACACTTACTACCTCCATTTACTTGCCTAGCTTTATACTAGGTGGTAGGAACCAAGACAACAGTCTTCAAGTTGCTCACTTTTAAGCACAACAGGGGTGGTTGTTAACAGACTTTCTCATTTCCCTGTCGAAGGTTGCTATGGTAGGCCAATGCCTTTGAAAACCAAAGAAAGTCAGCATTGTGGTACATCTCTATAATTCCAACACTGGGGATTGCAGACATTGATCCCAGATTAAATAGTAGCTAATCTTGAATTTATAGGGATCCATCTGCCTTAGGCCTCCTTGTTTACAGGATTGAACCAACACACTGGGCTCATCAAAGGCTTCTCCAAACAGCAGCGTTTTAGCAACTTCTGACAATGTCTCTAGAAAAAGCACCATGACCAAAGAAAAGAAACTGTTCATTCAACTAGCTGTGAAGAACTAACATTCTCAGAATGTGAACACCCAGAGTCCTAGGAGTTGGCTCTATCAAGTGATAAGCTGTGGTGAGCTAGTTTAGTTAGCAACATGCAGATGTTGAACTGTCTCTGGAGTGAGCTGGGGTTTGCTGATCTCCCGAGAGGTATGGATTTATTAGAGACAGACTTAAAGATGAAAACCATGGTGCTGTACAGGTTTCAGCAGCTTCGATCAGATGATCTTGAGTCCAAGTCAGCCTGGTCCACAAAAAGAGGACTTATCTTAAAACACATGCAAGGAAAAAAAAGCCATTTACAAAACACCAGCTAAAGCTAAGCATGGCGGTGTAAGCGCAGAGAGTTCCAGGAAAGTGAGATAAAAGGTTCAGGGCTAGCCTGGGCTTCATTTGTCTTTGCTTAACCAATCATCCAACCAACAAAAACCTAACTAACCAACCATAAAAAAGAAAAAAAAAGCTAGTTTGAAGCTTTGCTTTAAAAAGTAAATGGCAACTCTGTGGCTTACCTCTCTCCTTAGGCCAAATTCTCAATTGATGTTTTTATAATACAGATGTTTAAAGTCAGCATTCCAATTTTGATATCTTAGATCTAGATTATTTTTAAAAAATAACCTCATTGTTTGAACACTTTTTAACATGCTATCCTATAATTTCCAAGTAGGTTAGTTGCATTCTGTCTAGACTCCTTTCAGCGGAAGTAAAATTAACAGTATATTTTTCTTTGTCTTGGTCTCCATGGGTGAATTACAGGAGAATTGAACAGGTATTTAGAACAGGTCTTCCTACTTCGTGCAGTAAGAACTAAAGGTGAACTGTATTTCTTGTTTGTCACTCTTCCCACAATTACTAAAATGCAACCTGCAAGTGTGAGATACACTCATTATTAAAGGACTGTGAGAACAGCTGACAGATGCGGCCTTTCAAAAGGAAACCACTTTACCTAGTGGCAGCTAAGGAACTGGAAGCACCAAAATAGCCCCTATTATGTACCGCTGGGTACACTAAAAAAATATGGCAATCCTGATTAATTTGTAAATCTCCTGGCAGGGAGGATGAAAAGACGGAAAAAAGTTTACGTGAGGGCTTTTAATGACTAGTCAAACATAACATGAGTCACTGAAAGTTTCCAGTTAAGGATTCCTTTTTTGCCGGACAGTCCTCGTCCAGTCATTTATGAGCCACACGCAGTTTCAGCTGTAACATCTCACGGTTTTACTGCCTCTTCCACAAAAGAATACATAAAAGGAAAGACGCTTCCCGCCGCCTTGAAATGTAGGGCAAACTCTGGCTAGGGGTGGAGAAAAAGAGAACAAGGTATATAGACTGAGAGACAGAGAAGGCAGAAAAGGCGCTGAAAAGGGAAAACAAAAAAAAAGTTTCCCCTAGGTTATGCCTGAGGACCGTGTGTCCTCACTGGCTGGGGTAGATTGTCACCGCGTGCGGAAGGGCTCGGCCCACCGCCCTGCCCTAGCCGAGTAGAGCCTGTCCCTGCCCCCACCCTGCGACAGATGGGCCACTAGAGCTCTGCCTCCTCGCGCTGCCTGCCGGGAGCTCCAGCCGCTTCCGGTGACGCTTGATCGCTGAACTCCGACTCCCGTCAGCCCCCCGATAAAACCGCACCGGGTCTACGCGGGTGCTTTCGGAACTTGTAGTTTAGCTATCGGCCGAGCTTCGTAGGCGGAAACGCGGGCGAACATAGACGGGAACTACCGAGGCGAAGTTACGGGTGGTAGCGAGAGGTCAATTCTCGCCAAACGTGGGGTTGGCGGTGAGGCCGGCGGCGGTAGTTGGGGTTGGGTGGGAGGAGATCCTTTCGCACACACACGAGGAAGGTTGAGCCGCTGTCGCCCTGGTCGCGAGTGTACAGTCTGGACTGTAGCTGCTGCCCAGGACGCCGGCAAGTGAGTCGTTGGCCTCCAGCTCTCCAGTCTTGCCGGCCTCCCCGGGTCAGCGCGGCCTGCTCCTCCCCGGTCGGCCGCCCCCGCCTCCATTTCCCGCCCTCTCTTCACCACACACACGGCCCCCCCGATCATGGATCCCAGCAGCGGCGGTGGCGGCGGAGGCGGCGGCGGCGGGAGCAGCAGCAGCAGCGACTCTGCGCCAGACTGCTGGGACCAGACGGATATGGAGGCCCCCGGGCCGGGGCCTTGCGGCGGCGGCTCCATGGCCGCGGTGGCCGAGGCCCAGCGTGAGAACCTTTGCGCGGCTTTCAGCCGGCAACTCAACGTCAACGCCAAGCCCTTCGTCCCTAACGTCCACGCCGCGGAATTCGTGCCGTCTTTCCTGCGGGGTCCGACCCAGCCGCCGCTGTCCCCAGCTGGCGCGGCCGGCGGCGACCACGGAGCGGGGAGCAGCGCAGGAGGCCCTGCGGGTAAATTGCCGGGCTGGAGATCCCCAAGGCACGGGCGGCTGGCTGGGGCCGGAGTTCCGCGGTGGGGTGGGTGGAGAGGACGCGCCGCCGGGCCGGCCCGCACGTGGGGCGCTGACAGCGGCGCCGGCTGGTCTGGGTGGGGCGCCTCCAGTCTGGGAGCTGCCTGGTTTGGGGCGCCTGGGCCGGGAGGAGCAGAGACCAGGAGACCCGGGGACGCTTGGCCCGCCGCGGAAGGCCGCGGTTCACCCCAGGCATAGGAACCGTATGGGATCCTGGGCCAATCAGTGCCACGAGGCCCAGAAGTGGGGACCGATAGGGCCTGAAGTCGGGCAGGAGGACGGTGTGAGCTTAGGAGTTGAGGGACAAGACTCGTCTCTTCGCCTGGCCTTGAGAGCTGCTCCTGCTGCAGTATTGCAACTGTAATTGCGTTTTAAATATCTGTGGCACTAAACCGACCTGAAGGAATCCCAAGATGCATTGCAGGCTTGTGATCCGCCAGAAACTGTTGGCTGTCAATACAAAGACCTTTTTCACCTTTAACATTTTGAATACTTAAAGTTTTAAAAAATGTCAGAAAGATTCCTCAGTAGTAACATGAGGTATGAAACCTCATTGGTTTATGTGCTGTTTTAAGCGGAATTTAAGACTTTGTTCTGAGTGGCACGTTTAGACTTAATTTTTAAAAAAGTATTGACCTTATACGTGTTGCTTATAAAAGATTAGTTTGCGTTCTTGTATTAGTAGTCCAGTCTGTTACTTGAATACTTCTAATAAGTAAGTAGTTGTCATATGAGGTAGCTACTGGATACACTTTCTGTCATTTCAAGCTTCAGTCCATAAGCATCTTTATACAAAGCGGCTGTATGTTTGGTAGCCTTCAGGTACTGATTTTGTAGCAGTGTTGATGAGTGAATTTAACTATTGCCTTCATGCTGATGCTTATTTGAGTAAATACGGTATTATCTTAAAAGAAAAAAAGAAACAGGAAGGAAAAAGCTGAGTCTTTGGTTATTTAGGGGAGAACACTGGCGGGCCAGATAATTTAAGTTCATGTCAAGTGAGAGTATATTGTTAATTTCTATATTTTAAGTTCTGGACTTAGGCATGGTGTGGTGGTACACTAACTAATTAATGCCTATAGTCCCAGAACTCTGGAGGCTGAGGCAGGGGGATGCTTGGAGAAAGCAGAGAAAACAAATGGTATTGTCACCTCGACTCACTCACTCTCCAGGTGAGATGGTGTATTGCCTGCAACCCTGGCACTCAGGAAGTGAGGGCAGCTGAGATCTTTAGGTGAAGGCTACCGGGACTGTCTGGCAAAATCTTGACCCACAAATAATAAGTAAATAAATAAATAAATTCTTGGAGTTTAGTTCATTGGGAAACTTGCTTCACTCTGCTTTTTAGAAGTGAGAGGGTGTTAGAGTGTTTAGGGGAATGGTTTTGTGAGACACATATATAAGCACAGTTTGTTTGGGGGGGTAGCTTTGGGGCTTTATTGTGCAGGAGGGATTAGACATAACACACTACCCTCCTTCAAACCTGGGGACTTGACTGTTTGATTCACTGGCATTTCTTTTATTTGTGTGTGGTTGATAGTTTTCAAACAAGGAAATTCAGCTTTTAATTCTTTGTAGACATTCAGCTATTTATTAGCTTCCTTACAAATTGCCAGAAGCACTTGTTTCTACCTTATCTTACAGCTTCCACACCTCCAGCCATTTTCTTTCTTGGCTCTCCCTCCTTCCTCTGGAACTATCAGCTTTGAGTAGACTGAGTAGACTGGAGATTGCATTTACAGGCACTGACCAGATTTTAAAGGCATAGTCATCCACAAGGCCATGGTTGGAGTGGTCACTATGAGTGACTAGGCACTGTGTTTTGTGCAGGAGTTTTTCTTTATCTGTTACTTGCTAATTTGTGGTTTTACTAAGTGTGGGCATATGTTTGTGGAAAGTTCCTAAATTATAGTATGTGTGAATTTTTTTTAAATCAAAAATGGTCGTACTGACTAAACCAATTGTTTTTACAAAAATGTTTATATATACATATTTTTTCAAGACAGGGTCTCACTATGTAACTCTGGCTATCCTGGAACTCAAACTCACAGAGATCCACTGGACTGTGTCTCCTGAATGCTGAGATTAAGGGTGTGTGCAACCACCACCCAGCTTAAATTTTGTTGTGTAATTAAAACAGTTGAGAAACTGAGGTCAGCATGGGCTAGAGTAAGAACCCATATCCATTGGGAAAAAAGAATAATAATACTGGAAGCATTCTGTATATGATACCCGGGTGTTGCCTAAATAGAAGTCTAGAACTATGTGGGACAAGTTTGGGAACTTTGGGCCCATACATGCTGCCATCATTCTTACTAGGGGAAAGCAGAAAAAACAATGGCAGGAGCACCTAGCCTATAGCTTGCTAAGTGGAATCCAGATGGTTTTGATGGTGAGGAAATGGTCCATAAGCAACGTGACCTGTTTCCTTTGTTGTTACCCAGGCTGTGGTGGGGAGCTTTGGAAGGTCTGTGGAGAGCAGGGCTCTGGATTTTGTTTTGTTTCTTCTTTGAAATGCAGTGCTGCCTAGAGCAACCAGCAGAGGAAGGGGCTTTGGTGGCATGAATCTTCACAGATTCATATGCCTGTGTCCAGCCATCTCAAATCAGAACAGGGAAACTGGTGCTGAACTTGTTTTCTCTGAAAATTGTAAAAACACCAAATTCCAAACAATGATTAAATAGAACTCATTTAAGTGTAATTAAACGTAATCCATTTAAATTCAACTTTCTATAGAGCCAAGTAAATTGGGCTAGTGATTATCAATGAAAATAGAAGTCTTAAAAATGACTGGAAATGTTTTACTTAAGTTTTAGTAAATTCTCAAGGTTAAGCAACCATTATCACTTGATTAATTTTTATTTTTTTGAAGACAAGGTCACATTGCCTAGGCTAGTCACACAGCCACAGCCTGGGTAACATTGCTACATAGCCAAGACTTTTCTGATTCTGTTTCCTGCCTCTACCTCGCGCAAGTACTGAGATTGTAGGCTTGCATCACCACAGACAGTTTACATGTCCTGTGACCCTCACACACAAGCTGTGCCATTCATGCTCACACAATAATGGTAAGAAACAATTTTGAAAATAAAATCTTGGCACTGTAAGGAGACAGTATCCAAAATTTCTCCAGCTAGGGAAATACTGTAGAAAACAAATACAAGCTTTGTTTTCCTTTTGTTTGTCAGGGAAGAAATATCTTAAAGGTGTTAAAAATAGAATTATCTTTCTGGTTGAAGAGAAAGGAATGAAAAAAATTGTAAACTTTTGGGGTGAGTTAACATATTAGAATGGAAATTTTCGAAGTGGAATTTTTTGTTCAGATATCCATTCTAGGTGCATACAGGCACTTGCCTGTGCACTGAATGTAGACTGCTGTGCAAGGCACGGAAAGGAGGCTCTCATGGGAACCTCAGTATAATGAATTGTGGTCTTTGAAAGAGTCTCTAAGGTGGAAGACTGCAGATGTGCAAAGACATGCAAAGGATTTGGAGGCAAGAGATGGGTGAAGATTCATCAACCTTGTCTCTCCCACCATTAAACTAAAGATATTTGCTTTCTGCCAGGTGTCCTTCATGAATGCCTTGCTTTTGTTCTGAGGCAGGGTGTCAGTGCATTTCCCAGGCTGGACTGGACTTCACCTATCCTTGCCTCAGCCTCCCAAGTGCTGGAATTACTTTTAATTTTTCCAGGAATTTGGCAAAGTAGAACATTACCCTTCTTACTGCTTGGCTCATTCTTACCCAAACATCAGTGACTTTGGGTACCTAAAGGTTTTGTCCTTGTTTTCTGTAGATTTTAATGAAGCAAGTACCTTGAGAGTAGATATAGTTTATATATTCATAAATAGCTTTGTTCTGTTCCCCATTTGTAATTCTTCTTTCAATGGGAAAGAAACAGTAAGAATTTTCTAAGCATTTTCCATTACTGTAACTTAGGAGTGGTTATGTGTGCTTCTCAAATAGGTTCTAACTAGATAATTGTCATTTTATTTGAATGGAAGAAAAAAGCAAGTGTGTGTTACTGAGCAATCTGTGTCTATCTTTGGGTAGTTCATTTCAGTGGTGGGACGATATTTTCTCTTTTTGTATCTTATTGACACTATCTGAAATTGCTTTGGTATGTGTAATATACTTTTGTTTTTGAAGTAGATGAGACATAAATCGTAAATATGACCATAAGGTTACATAAAATGTAGTGGAGTTTTTGTTATGCTACAGAAAACCATATCAGGTTGATATGTGGTATTGCTTTAATGATGTAATAAATAGGCTCTTTGAATGTTACAGCTAGAAATGACTCCAGCAAAACGACACCCTCAGTTTTGGATAAAGAAATTGAAGCATAAGCATGCTAAGTGATTGTGTGAAATCACTCCCAGAGTTAGTGACACCAGTATGCAATTTTGATTTGCCAGCTGATAATTTAGGTCTATTTCTGTGGTGCCATGCTTTTTAATAGTGGAGGAAGGGAATGCCTACAGCCAGTTGCTATAACCTGTATGGATTTTCTGACAGAGTAGCCCTGGAATTTTTCTTTCTAATGTTTTCATTCTTAAAGGATTTTGTAATAAGTCCAGGACTCTGAAATGCTTGTTGTAGGTTTGTGGAGCGGTTACTGCAGCTTACCACTTAGCCTTCCCAGTACGATGTGTGGATACTTCTAACCCATTTTATAGATGCAAAAATTGCAGGTTAGAAAAGCTGAATACCTTAGTAAGATTATGCCCATGACTAAATGGAAGAATAGGCTCTGATTTCAAAGCTTATTTTAATGACAGTAACTCCTAACTTGTAAGTTAACATCAAACAATCTGTTTGAGACCCTTTTCCAAAATTGGCCCATGGATTTTGTTGATATCGCCATCATCTCTCAGGAGCAGCAGAGTCCTGCCAGACACTGCTCTAGTTTCAAGAGCTGCCTCTTCCTGGTGTAGATGGCTTTGAACTGTTTCTTTGTCTTTGTACCTTTGCTCTCTTCTCCTCCTCTTCCTCCCCATACCTCTTTCTTCACTGTCCTTGAGTCTTTCCCTGGTGCCAAGCTAGCCTTGAACTCTTGGGCTCAAGTGATCCTCGTACTTCCACATTCTAAGCACCTGGGGTCTCCAGGTGCTTCAGGTTGCTTTGGTTTGTCTACAGGTTCTTGCTATGGTAGCCCTTGCTGCCTTGAACTCACCAGGAATCCCAGACTGGCCTCAAATTGAGTGATCCTCCTGAGTGAGTGAAGGCTTGCTACAGAGTCTACCTGCCCTTTCCTGTCTAGAGCATTTGACATGTCTCAGACAAACATTGGCATCTCTGTGTGTTCAGCAGCCCCTCTTCTGTTGTCTCCTTACACTGTTTGCCAGTATTGCCTGTGGGAGAAAGAAAGAGATCTCGACATGCAATTTTGGTGACATAGCTTGGTCTCCTGGGTGCTAGAGATGTTTAGTTCCAAACCTCCTGAGTAAGGTGCTTCCAAAAACCTCACTAAGAAAGCTGGCACATTCAAAATGGATTTTACTGTATTCAATCGTAGTAAAAATTCAGTGAATCCATGGTGAGGGGTAAGAAAAGTGCAGAGAATCAGTATGAACCTAAGTGAAGCTAGGTCTGGAGGCACATGCCTATAATCCAGTCTGGATTAATCCACCAGTTCAAAGCTGGCCTGGGCTACATTATAAGCTCAAGGCCAGTCTGAAGTGAGATCTCAACATGCCTATCTTAAAGAAAAAAAAAAAAAGTGGGCTAAGTGTGACCTCAGCTCAGTAGATCAAAACAAAATAAAGTACTTACCACATAAACCAGACAACCTGAGTTTGATTCCCAGAACTAATGTTGAAAATCCAGATGTGGTGCTGTGTATCTGTAATCTCAACATTCCAGTGGTAAAACAAGAAGCCAAGATCACCCCCCCCCCAAACTCATGGGCCAGGATAGCTTGGGGTGCATAGTGTAACAGATGCAAGAAAGGCCCTGTCCCCAATAAATAACATGTAAGGCAAGAATCAACTCTTAAAAACATTGTTCTTTGGTCTGCATGCATATTGTGTCTGTCTGTCTGTCTGTCTGTCTCTCTCTCTCTCTCACACACACACACAGACACACACACACACACACACACACACACACACAAATCAATCAGTTAATACATACATTTAGGCAGGTAGATTTCTGTGAGTTCAAGGCCAAGCAGAGTTAAGGGGGTTGGGGGGAGAAAGAACTGTTGAAGTTAATTCATTAAAGATTAAATGTTCTGGGCTGGAGAGATGGCTCAGTGGTAAGAGCACTGATTGCTCTTCCAGAGGTCCTGAGTTCTATTCCCAGCAACCACATGATAGCTCACAACCATCTGTAATGGGATCTGATGCCTTCTGGTATGTCTGAAGACAGTGACAGTATACTCATATTAAATAAATAAATGTATGTTTGTTTGTTTGTTTGTTTGTTCTGGCCAACCAGTGGTGGTACATACCTTTAATCCCAGCTCTCAGGAGGCAAAGGTTGGCAGATCTCTGAGTTCAATGGTAGCCCAGACTACACCCAGAAATTTATACAAATTTAAATAAGCTAATTCATGAACTATATGAACTGAGCTTTTGTGCACGTGCTTTAATCCAGAGCCTCCAGAGTGCCACCAAGATACTCATCCTGGCCTTTTGGTGGTTGTTTTGGGGGTGGTATATAACTAGCCCTGTCTAATTGTAAACCATTTTCACCACCTGGAAAGGAAACCTGTATTTCCTAAGTAGTAAGCACTACTTACAGTTCCTGCTTTTCCAGTCTATAGTTTGGCCAGTTCTGAGTAGTTCAGGTTAACTATGTCATACAATGTGTAACCTTTGGATCTTTTTGTTTTGAAGACACATTTTCCCCGCCTTGTGTAGCCTTGGCTGTCCTGTCCTTGAGCTCAGAGATCCATCTACCTCTGCCTCCCAAATGCTGGGATTAAAGGCCACTCTTCCCTAGTGATTTTTAAATATGACTTATTTTCTGAGTTAAGTCTTAGACAGTATCTTTTAAAAGTCTTGTTACATACATAGCCTTGGCTGGTCTAGCATTTGCTGTTTTTTAATTTTGTTTTATCTATTGCTTTATTTTTATTGCATTTATTGGGGGGGTGCAGTCCATGGCACATCAGTCACATTGTCACATCATCATGTGACAATCAGGACAACTTTTGGGAGTTGGTCCTCTTCCTTCCACCATCTGAGTGGGATTGAACTTAGATAATAGGGCTTGGTGGCAAGCGCCTTTACCCATTGAGCCATCTTACCAGCCCAAGATCTATGAGCGTTTGCCTCCATGTATGTATCTGTACTGTGTGCATGCCTGGTGACTCTGAAGACCAGAAGAGCATGTTGGATCCCTAGAACCAGAGTTCTAGGTGGTTGTGCGCCACCATGTGGGTGCTGGAAACTGAGCTTAGGTCCTCTGTACGCCACAGCAGGTGCTCTTTCTTACCTTCGGAGCCAGCTCTCCAGCCCCTTTCCACTTACTTTGTTTTATGATTTGTGACATTAGAGCTAATGTTAGAACTAGTTCTTTGTTCCTTGTCTAATGTAAAATCTCTGTGTATGTGTGTGCCTGCACACGTGTGTATGTGTACATCTGTATGGAGACTAGAGGTCAAGTGTCTTTCTCAGTTGGTCTCCTGGGTTTTTGTTTTTTAAAGATTTGTTTTACTTTAAAACATTTCCATTATTGAAAGCTGACTGTTGTCTGAGTTTTTTAATTAACCATTTTGTGTAAGTGCAGGTGCGAATATGCTATGGCATATGTGTAGAGGCTAGAAGCCAATTCTGTGGAATTGGTTCTCTAATTCCACCCATTTTGAATGTTGGTATTAAAGATGCATCACTTCAGCCTGGATTCTTCTACAGTTCTGTGGCTCAAGCATTGAACTCAGGTTGTCAGGTTTGTGTGATGAGCTCTACCTACCTGCTGAACCATCTTGCTGGTGCCCAGATTTCTTTTAGTTGTCTGCAATTGGTAGAGGTCTTTTTTTTTTTTTTTTCCCCCTTTCTGGCTTTTTCAAGACAGGGTTTCTATGTGTAGACCAGGCTGTCCTGGAACTCACCCTGTAGACCAGGCTGGCCTTGAACTCAGAAATCCGCCTGCCTCTGCCTCCCAAGTGCTGGGATTAAAGGTGTGTGACACCACTGCCCAGCTGGTAGAGGTCTTAAAAGTAGGCTAAAGAGAGTTCTGATTTGAAACCCACTTAGCAGCCATTGTTTTGAGTTGCTGAGACCTGTGATGTCATTGAACATCTCTTTTTATCATATTACAAGATAAGCAAAGAAGAAAAGCTTCATTTCTAATAACACTCATTTTTCTTAACCAGAACCTGTGGAGTCCTCTCAAGAACAGTCGTTGTGTGAGGGTAAGTTTTTAAATGTCTAATTAAGAGAACATTAAGCTGTCTGTGATATGTAAATTTAGATATTGTTTTATGAATATGTATTGTGTTTCAATTTTTTTCTCTAGGTTCAAATTCTACTGTTAGCATGGAACTTTCAGAACCTGTTGGTAAGAATTTCTGACAATATTAATACAGTAATCTGAAACTCTTTTCACTCTCCAGATTTAAGATTTAAATGTAGTGCTCTGATGACTGATGTGTCTGTGCTTCAGCCACACTGAATTTTTTGCTATTAGAATTTAGAAGGTGTAACAAATTGAGCATTAACGTTGCCTTGACAAATTAGTGACTTCAAATGGAACTGAGGAGAGGAGTTCTAGCTAATTTAAAAGGTTGTACTTGTTCCTTTGACTTTGTTTCTTTCTTGTGAGGAAGGAGTATTTTTTCCAGACAGGGTTTTTCTTTGTTGTCCTGGCTGTCTTAGAACTCCCATGGTAGACCAGGGTGGCCTCGCACTCACAGAGTGCTGGGATTAAAGGTGTGCACCACCAAGCCCAGCTGCTTCTTTGTTGTTGTTTCCTGAAACTAGGTCTTTTGTAGCCTAGACTAGCAAACTTGCCAAGATGGCCTTGAACCACTGAAGCCATTGCTTCTACTTTGAGATCTTGGGGATTACAGGAACCCCCATTATGCCTAGCTCTAACATTTCATCAAACATTTCCATCCTTTTAAAAATAACTTCATTACTCTTTAAAAATTTCCAGTTTCAAAGGTGACTGTTAAAGAGTCATTATTTACTTAGAAAATTCTAGTTTTTATACTTTACCTTTCTCCCCATCTGTCAGGACATCTTGACACTGGATAGCTGATTTTGGGAGTGATGGCTCTCGTGTTTACCTATAGTCTGCTCTTAGGAGGTGACACGATGCTAGGATAGCACAGTGTGCATGGCATCAGTTCTGCCATATGGCTCTGTCCTGTCAGCACCTACCCATCTCTCTCTGCCTGTGTCATGGGTGTCAGGAGAGGGACCTAAGTGACTTGTATTTGCTGCTTTAAAGCCTGTGTGGTTAAATGCAGGTATTATTTTTCAAGATAATGAATTAAAATGCCTTTCTTCAGTAGAAAATGGAGAGACAGAAATGTCCCCAGAAGAATCATGGGAGCACAAAGAAGAAATAAGTGAAGCAGAGCCAGGGGGTGGTTCCTCAGGAGATGGAAGGCCACCAGAGGAAAGTACCCAAGAAATGATGGAGGAGGAAGAAGAAATACCAAAACCTAAGTCGGTAGTGGCACCGCCAGGAGCTCCTAAGAAAGAACATGTAAATGTAGTATTCATCGGACATGTCGGTAAGTTGTCCTCAGAGAATTCATAGGCAATGGCCAGAGTTATTGGAGACTCCAAAGTATAGAGCGTCTTGTTTAGCTTCTTGGAGATGTGGAGTAATACTGTGGGTTGATTCCAGTAAAATGCTGTGTCTGTGTGTCTGTGTGTAGTTATTTATGCAATTGGGTTTCTCTGTGTAGCCCTGGCTATCCTGGAACTAGATCTGTAGACCAGGCTGCCCTCAAGCTCACAGAGATCTGCCTGCCTCTGCCTCCAGATTGCTGGGATTAAAGGTATGTGCCACCACTGCCTGGTTATTTTTTTGTTATGTTTTGTTTTTGAAGTTTAGGTAGAGGAACTGTTTTGTAATGGCATAGAGGTTGGAAGGAAATAACCTTCAGTATGTATATAATGGATAATTAATTAGTCTGTAGACCACTGGTAATGGTTTGCCACACTGTGAAATCTCTTAATTAGTATCCAAGAAATGTACATATTTTTGAATTAGCATTAGTTGATATGTTCCTTTTAATGGGTTAATATTATTCCTATTGAGCTTAATTTTGTATGAAATGAGAAATTCTAAATTTAGAGTAACTTTTGGGTGCTTGTCAAATAACTGATTTAGCCAAAGAAACAAGACCTTATTTTATGTTTTCTGATTTATTATCCCTGTATCTTGAGACAGGGACTCACTATACAATAGTTCAGATTGGCCTTCAACCGAGGCTCTTCCTGTGCTTCAGTCTCCTGAGTTGCAGATAGGCCTCACCGTGCTTGACTCAGCTCCCTTTATAGAAGACTAACTTTGAAATCTGTGAAGGAATGCCTGGTCTGTTTCCAGAAACAGAATAAAATGAAAGAAGGACCGCTCACACAGCCTGCCCTGGAGGTGCACTAAAGAGATTGAGGCAGGAGAATTAGGTTCAAGGTTAACCTGGACTGTTAACACAAGTTCTTTAGCTTCTTTTGCTGAATTCTAAGGCTGTCTGGGGAACGTGTATTCTCTGATACTGTGCTGCTAGCTGAAAATCCACAATATTTTTTTTTTAAATTATTTCTCTATCAGGTAAGTATTTCTCAGTCATCATTGCCCTATAGGGAATCAGCCTTGTTTATTGTACATGCAAGAGGGTCTCTAGAATTTAATCCCCAAATTCTATTACAAGTTCATTTGCTTTTGCAAGACTGGATTATATAAAATATCACTGATGTATTTGTAGATATTGTTGTTTTTAACCTATATTCCAATATTTTTGCTGTTCCTTTTAGATGCAGGCAAGTCAACCATTGGAGGACAAATAATGTAAGTCTCTTTTACCTAATGATAGAGTTAGTTTGATTGGATAAATTTCAGGCATTGTTTTAAGTGTTCATGTTGCGGTGCAGTTGTGATAAAATTGGTCACCACCTCAAGTGATGACACTTTAAGACAGATGTTAAGTATTTTGTTGTCACTGTGAGTTTTAAATCACTGCCAGACTCACAGAACACTGTGTTTCTGAAAGCTGTCATTAAGAAACAACAAAAAGGTAGGTGTGTGTGTTGGTGATGTTTACACATGAATATTGGTGCATGCATCTATATGCCCATACATGTAAAGCCCATAGCAGAACATCATGCATGTATCTTGCTGTTGCTGTCTCTGCTATATTGCCTTGAGATGGGTCTCTGACTGAACTGGAGACTTCCAGGTTTAAGGTATAGCCACCTAGCTTTTGGAATCTGCCAAAAGCCCATCTTCTCCACACACCCCCCCCCCCCCCCCCCCCCCGCAACTTACAGCTATAGGAACTTATGCCCAGCTGTAGGTTGATTGGTTGGTTGGTTGGTTTTGAGATAGGGCTGTGTGTCACCACATCCATTTTCATGCACAGATTTTTATGTAGATGCTAGGGGCTTTAACTTGTTCCTCATGCTTGCAGAACAGGACCTTCACATTCTTGCTTTTAAAAAAAATGTTTTTTTTCCCTCTTTCCTTTTATTTTATGTACATTTGTGTTTTGCCTACTTTATGTGTGTGAGGGTGTCAGATTCCCTTGAACTGGAGTTGCAGACGTGAGTTGCCATGTGGGTGGTGGGAGTTGAACCCAGACCCTCTGGAAGAACACCCAGTGCTTTTAACCATTGAGCCATTTGTGAGTGGGGGGGTTGGGAGGGCTAGGCATGGTATAGTGCCATGGACCTTTTAATTAATCCTAGCACTTGGGAGGCAGAAGCTTGTTGTTGCAGGCAATAGTGAGCTCCTGTGTAGGTGCTGGGTCCTCTCCAAATACACTTAAGTAAGTAAGTGTTGGGCCATCTTTCCAGTCCCTTCTTTTTTTTTTTTTTAGATTTATTTATTTATATGAGTACATTGTAGCTGTCTTCAGACACACCAGACGAGGGCATCGGATCCATTATGGATGGTTGTGAGCCACCATGTGGTTGCTGGGAATTGAACTCAGGACCTTTGGAAGAACAGCCAGTGCTCTTAACCACTGAGCTATCTCTCCAGCCCAGTCCCTTCTTTCTAAAAATGTATGTGTATGGGAGTGTTGGCTCTCCTGGAGTTGGAGTTACAGGTGATTGTAAGCTGTCTGAGGAGAGTGCTGGGAACTGAACTCATGTCTTCCAGAAGTACAGCAAACCCTCCTAACTGCTGAGCATCTCTCCAGACCCCGACTTTTGTAACTGAAAGAATTTGAACTGATTATTTCATGTTTTGCAATTTGGATATGACTGATACTTTCTCATATTAAGAATATCACAGAAGTTGGGCACTGGTGGCACACGCCTTTAATCCCAGCACTTGGGAGGCAGAGGCGGCAGGCAGGTCTCTGAGTTCAAGGCCAACCTGGTCTACAGAGTGAGTTCCAGGACAGCCAGGGCTACACAGAGAAACCCTGTCTCAAAAACCAAAAGAATTAAAAAAAAAAAAAACAAAAAAAAAAAACAGAGAAAAAAGAAATAGTATATTTTGTCTCCTGTGGAGAATTGTGATATCAACAATGTTTTATATGTTCATTATGTTTTATAAAGTACTGGCAGTGTGAGCTGAGCGTACCTTGGTAAGGTACAAACTGTCAGTTCATTATGAAGGACTTTTGTTTTTACATAATAATTTGAAAGGATACAAATATTCTTATATTTAAACTAGCTCTGTGGATGGTACATTTACTTTAAAAGAGCTAGTGAGATGGCTTAGTGGGCAAAGGTCACCAAAGCTAACTGCCTGAACTCAATCCCCAGGACCCACATGGTAGATGAGGAAGACTGACTGCTACAGACTGTCCTCTGACTGCCACATGGATACCATGCTTGCACACACACAAACTAAAGAAAGGGAATTCTACTTTTAAATAGCTGTTTTTCTTCAGTGCAGGGTCCCTTCAAGTGCTCTAACACCGTCCTTATTTACTGAGTAATTAACTGAGCCCCTCTTTTCTGTCTTTAACCATTTTCAGGTATTTGACTGGAATGGTCGACAAAAGGACACTTGAGAAATATGAACGAGAAGCTAAAGAAAAAAATAGAGAAACTTGGTATGTAAATTTTTTATACTATGAGTTACTTTTAAGGAAACACAATACCCTTAAAGTTTTTGTAATCTGTTCAAACACATATTTCAAGCCAAGCCCAGTGCTGTATGCCTATGGTCTCATTACTCTGGATGCTTGAGGCCAGGAGTTTGAGGCCAGCCTGGGTAACAATAGTGAGGCCCTATTGCAATAAAATGATTTTAAACAAATTTTTCTATTTAAAATACTATATAATAAAGGTAACATTCATATCATACATAGAGACCTGCTCCTGATGATTTATACAAAGGAAGCTTGAGAGTCATCTAAACATATAGTAGCCAGAAAATTGTTTAATAAATTATGTCATCCATGTAATTGAACACTTGTGTAACCATAAAAGATTATATTTATATTGCTAGGCAGTGAAGGCCATGCCTTTCATTCCAGCACTTGGGAGGCAGAAGCAGGCAGATCTCTGTGAATTCTAGGACAGCCAACACTACACAAAGAGATCCTGTCTTGAAGAACCAAAGGGGGGAAAATTATGTTTATCAAATTTATAATAAGCAGGAATGAAACAACATTGCAGTGGCATTTGAAGAGAAAAGAAATATAATTGTACTTAGGATTTGTAATCATAATGCATAATGTAAATAAATACTGGAAGGAAAAAAGGAGAATTAATAGTTATTACCTTTCAGTAGCAAAGAAAAAAGTGTGTGTCTGTGTCTGTAAGCTGTGTAACCTTACTTATTCTGATGTTAAACTTTACAGACCTGGAAGTACAGGTACGTAGTAGTAGAGTAATGCCTGAGTGAGAGAGAAGCTTAGGTTCGATGTCCAGCACTTGAGGGGAGAGAAGGTTGCAGCCCTTACTTCACTGGGACACATGTTCTTTTCAGGAAGAACCACATTTCTCTATTTGATTATTTGATTATTGTTATTGAGACAAAAGTCTATTTAGTTCTAATTGGCCTGGACCTCACTATATAGAGCAGGCTAGCTTTGAAATCAGAGATCTGCCTATCTCTGTTAACCAAGTGCTGGGATTGAAGAGGTGTGTCACCACAATTGGCAAATGGAACAAGTCTTAATTAGTATTAGACTAAAAAGATTACAAGCTATTATCATGGTGTTTTAAAATAATTTATATAGAATTATATAATTCTTACACAGTGAAATAATATTGATAATTTTTAATCAGTAACCACTGTTCCAGCGTGATGTGAATGGTGGTCTTGTGAGAAAAAATATGCTTTTTTGAGATGAGTTCTGATTATGTAGCCTAGATTGACCTCAAATTTATTCCTTCGCAGTCTATAAGTTATGGTATTGGGATACAGGTAAGAACCACTCTGCCTGCCTTTAGTACCCTTGTTTTTGCAACGATTATATTCTGTCATACAGTTAGAAAAGTGAAGAAAGGACGATTATCTCACTCTGTGATGTTGGAGTTTGGAATTAGTTGTATTAATTATACTTCTCTTGCTGTGATTAAACGCTGTGACCAGAAGCAGCCTATCGAAGGAAAAATAATTTGGGATGCGAATCCATTGTGGCTGGGAGGCTTGCCAGCAGGTAGCCACTGTAGCCAGAACAGCAACCTGAGAGCAAACCAGAAGCAGTGTAAAGCTTTAAATTCTCCAAGCCAGTCTCCAGTGACATTTCACTTCTGACATAGCCACACACTCAAGCCTTCCTAAACAGCACTAGGACCAAATATTCCATGCTCATGACGGAAGGAGACAGTTCATTCAAAGCACAATGTTAGAACTGTGACTCATCTTTGTTTTTCTTTTTTCTATCACCTTTTTTGCCTCAGTCTTCCTGATACTGGAATTAATTATGCCCAACACTTTTACCTTTATGAATAATGTTTGCTTATAGACTAGTTGACTATGGGAATGCTCTGTTTGACTCATTGAATTCTCTTGTTTTTATTTTACTAGTAATATGATACATGATAGTGGACATGAAACTGGTTGTCTCATTTAATTATATGTTTAATGGTAGAAGAATATTTTTAAAGATAATCATATGTTCTTTAAAAAATCCTTCCAGGTACTTGTCTTGGGCCTTAGACACAAATCAGGAAGAACGAGACAAGGGTAAAACAGTAGAGGTGGGTCGTGCCTATTTTGAAACAGAAAAGAAGCATTTTACAATTCTAGATGCTCCTGGCCACAAGAGTTTTGTCCCAAATATGATTGGTGGTGCCTCTCAAGCTGACTTGGCTGTACTGGTAAGAAAGACATTTCTAGTCTGTACATATTTATTAATAGCCCACGTTGTATCTTTTTATGTAAGTTTTCTATCACTGATTTGTAAAATAGTCTCACCATGTACCTCTGGCTGTCCTGGTCAGAGGTCTGCTTGCCTCTAATTGAAGGTATGCTCTGCAACCCTAACTTTATATTCTAGTGTGACATATACATTAGTCACAGTATTTCATTTCTGTCACTCTTATCTGCCCAAGAACTGTTTATCATTTACTTATTAAAAATACATTAAACATTTTCTTGTTGCTGTTATCCATGTGCCCAAATTTAGTGTTTTCTTGACTGCTAACCCCAATCTTCATTTTTTCCTTTCCCCTTCCCTTTCCCTCCTTCTTGGTGGTACATGCCCTCCTCGAACTCATTATCCTCTTGTCTCAGAGTCCCAAATGCTAGGATTACAAGTATGCATTAGCATACATTTGTAGTATTGGAGATTAAATCCAGTAGGGGCTGGATAGATGGCTTAGTAGTTAATAACACATACTGCTCTTGCAGAGGACCTGAGTTTGATTCTCAGCATCCACACTGCGTGGTTCACAATTGCCTGTAACTCAGGATCCAACAGGATCCAAGGTATCTGATGCTTCTGGCCTTAGCAGGAGACTGCACTCACATATACTAGAGATTGACTTAGGTCCCTGAAATTGCTAAATACATATTTTATCACATCCTTAGCCTGAAACATTTGAAGTATATGCTCATGAATAGACTTAGGGAACTTAAAGGGTTAGAAAAAAATATCCATATTTGTTTTGATATTTGGCACAGCCCATGGGAATAACTCTTAACAATGAGCTACACCCACTCATCCACAACTCTCTGTTTCTTTGTTTTCTTTTATTTTGAGACGGGTTTTTCTATGTAGCCCTAAATAACTGTCCTGGAACTCTGTTGAACTCAAGAGATTTGCCTACCTCTGCCTCCTGAGTACCAGGATTAAAGGTGCTTGCCATCACCACCACCACAGCCACCAGACATTAAATCCTCAAATCTTTGAACCATTCAGACACCATATGATTGGATGTGTCCATTGTAACACACATACTCTGGCTTCCTTGGAAAGCTTTCTTACAGAACTTAAAGTGTAGATGTTTTGCTGCTAGATTTGGTGGAGGGTGGACATGACTGGAATGTTTAAGAGTAAATTACTTGGTTTCTTGAAATAGGTAATCTCAGCCAGGAAAGGAGAGTTTGAAACTGGATTTGAAAAGGGAGGACAAACAAGAGAACATGCAATGTTGGCAAAGACAGCAGGAGTCAAGCACTTAATTGTGCTTATTAATAAGATGGATGACCCCACAGTGAACTGGAGCAATGAGAGGTGAGCTCGGAGCTTTACAAGCACGTCAGAAGCAAAGGCTGCCTTTTCTACTGTCTGCATTGGTTCTTCGAGTTTTTCTAAGCTTTAATTTGTTTACTGATGAAACTAGAGTTTGTCTAGTTGGCATAATTGATTTATTTCTAAATATTCATAGATACGAAGAATGTAAAGAGAAACTAGTACCATTTTTGAAAAAAGTTGGCTTCAATCCCAAAAAGGACATTCATTTTATGCCCTGCTCAGGACTGACGGGAGCAAATCTTAAAGAGCAATCAGATTTTTGTCCTTGGTACATGTGAGTAACCTTTCTGACTGTTTGTTTGGTTTTTTGGTTTTTTTGTTTTGTTTTTTGTTTTTAAGGGAGGATGGACATATCATCATAGTAAAAGAGCTACAATCTTTGTCTTCTAAAAAAAAAAAAATTTGTGGTCCATTGATTGACTGATTTATGTGGTTGGTGTATGCTTATGTGTCCAATGTGAAGGTGCTTGCCCATGTTTGTGTTTGTACAGCCTAGAGGTTGATACCAGGGGTTTTTTGTTTTGTTTTAAAGCAACAAATATTTTTTTAAAGATATATTTAAGTATATGAGTACACTGTAGCTTCAGACACACCAGAAGAAGCCATCAGATTCCATTACAGATAGTTGTGAGCCACCATGTGGTTGCTGGGAATTGAACTTAGGACTTCTGCAAGAGCAGTCAGTGCTCTTAACCACTGAGCCATCTCTCCAGCCCTGACACCACGAGTTTTGAGAGAGTTTCACACTGAGCCTAAAACTAACTGATTAGGATCGAATGACTAGCTAGTAAGCTCTGTATCAGTCTGTCCTCCCCAGTGCTGGAATTAGAGATGAATGCTACCACCTGGCTTTTACATGGGTGTTGGGGTCCAAACTATATCCTTGTGCTTTCATAGCAGGCACTTAACTCTGAGCTACCTCCCCAGCCCTGTGTAGTCTTTTTTGAGTAATGGGAGTTCTTTATGGGCCTTTGGCTTATATCATTAGGTTACTTGCCTTATAAACATGAGGCCCCTGGGGTTCAGTTCCCCAGATCCACTTACTCAAGCACATATAATCCCAAAAAGGTTTCTTGTATATAAGTCCCTTACTAGATAAATGATGGGTACTTAGCAACTATTTTTCCATTCTATATTAAATTCCTTCATAGCTTCCCTTTCTGTCATTCGTGCTTGTTTGTGTTGAGGAGAATCTAGAGCCTTGCCCATACCGAGTGTGTTCCGTGTCACTTGAGCTATTCTCCCTTAACCGTCCTATTTCTCACTGTGCATATGAGTACAGATATGCATGGGCTACAGGCCCTCAGTGAAGGTCAGAGACCTCAGCACAGGGTGGTTCTCTCCTTCCTGCTAACCTCTCACTTCTGCTTCACTCTACTCCCCCTGGCCTATGACCATCCATGTGATTCTCCAATTTCTGCCTCCCGTTTTCTCTTAGCAGTCCTGGAATTACAAACATGTCGGCAAATCCATGTTTTGTTTTAAAATATATCCAGTTAGATGGCTCAGCATATTATGGTGTCTGCTGCCAAGCCTGGTGATGTCATGGTAGAAGTAGAAAACAAACTGCAGAGAGAGAGAGAGAGAGAGAGAGAGAGAGAGAGAGAGAGAGAGAGATATGAATGAATGATCCAAGACCACAAAGATGTAGCCCTACGGAAGAGGATAAGGCCAGTTTAGTTTCTCAAGTAATTAAATGTTAAGATTTTAGGTTTTCAGGGCTGGAGAGACACCTCAACAGTTAAGAGCACTTGTTGCTCTTACATATGACCTGTAAATTGGTTCCTAGCACCCACGTGGCAGCTCACAAGCATCTGTAACTTCAGTTCCAGGGGATCTGATGCTCTCTTACCTCCTCAGATAGTAGGCATGCACATGATGCATATACATATGTACAGACAAAACACTAAGTACACATGAGACAGACTATAAAACACATCTACATTTAACAAAAAACCCCTGTCCCTTTTATATTTAGTTTTCAGTTCATTTTTTTGTGTAAGGTTTATGGTCTTTACCTAGCTAAGTTCATTTTGTTTGTTTGTATTTGTATGGGTATCCAATTATTCTGGTACAATTTCTCTGTAATTATCACCCTTATTAGAAATCAAATGGCCATAAATGTTGAGGTTTTTTCTCTCTCTCTCAGTTCTCTTCTTTTCAACTGTTTATCTTAATTCTGTGCAGTCTTGCTTACTATAGAACTTGGAAATTGGCTAAAATTTGCTTGCTTTCTTTTTCTTACCTTTCTTTTTTGAGTCTCTTGAACTTCCACACATATTTTAGGATTAGTTTGTAATTACTGTAAAGCAGGCAGACAGCCTTGCTAGATACTGTTGCCTCACAGAGGAAAAGTTGTGTTACAGAACCCTGATTTTAAGTTTTACAATGCATGAAATCTGGTGATAGAAAGTAGAAATAGGTTCCAGGACAGCCAAGGCTACACAGAGAAACCCTGTCTCAAAAAAAAAAAAAAGAAAAGAAAAGAAAAAGAAAAAAAGAAAGTAGAAATAGAATATAGGCATTTGGTACATTGCCTATAATCCTAGCACTTGAAGCAGGAGGATTGAGCTTGAGGTAAGTCTAGAAGACATAGCAAAACCTTATGTTCCTTGTCCTTATGTAGTTAATATTACAATGTAGGCTGTTGCAAAACATTTCTAACTTAATGTAAACTTATGGAGAAATAGGGCCAGGGCATCTCTGCCAGTCAAGGTGTTTTGCTGCCGAGCTTAATGGCTTAGTTCTTGCCCCAGGGCCCAGACCATTTAAGGAGAGAACTGACTCTTGCAAGCTGTCCTCTGACCCTATATACACGTGGAGACACATACACACAGACACACAAACACAGTAAGTTAGTTGGTAAATATCCAGAGTAGTTTTGTGTGTTTGTAACTTTTGTTTTGTTGTGTTTTATTCTGAGACAGTGATCTCACTATGTAGCCCAGATTAGCCTTGAATTTATTATTAACCTCTTGTCTAAGTATCTCAAGTGCTGGGATTACAGGGATTACATTATACCTGGCCTGGGGAGCCTTTTAAAGTTAAGTATTTTGTTTTATTTTAGTTTTCTTAGGTGTACGTTTCATGAAATGGAAAAGTATTAAATGAAAAAATGTACATGGGAAAAAATGGTCATTTTTTTGTTTAAATTATAATTAACTTCTTAGATTTTTAAAAATTATTGTGTTTACTTTCTTTAATTGATACTGTTCTGTTCTCAGTGGCTTACCATTTATTCCATATCTGGATAATTTGCCAAACTTCAATAGATCAGTTGATGGACCAATCAGGCTGCCAATTGTGGATAAGTACAAGGTACCTCAAATAGTAAAGTTACTGTACTTCAGGGGAGATGAAATCATTGTTTTGTTATAGTCATAGAAAAAATTATTAGTAAACATTTATTACCTTTTTGAATGTTTGTTTATGGAAGGCCATGATTTTCGCTTAGCCTGGAGATTTTCAGTGAGTCATTTTTTAGCTGCAATAATACAATGAAAAGGCTGTTCTGAAAGATTTTTCACATTAAAAGTGGTAGCTTTGGTAAGTAGCTCTGCAAGAAGAAGAGTGTGTTTAGTTATAATAGTACCAATACATGAGGGCTTTTTTTTGTCAGAGTGCAATGCATTGGGTGTGGTGGTATATACATTTAGTTTCAGTACTTTGCAGGCAGAGACAGGTGAATCTTTTTTAACTCAAGGCCAGCCTGATCTACATAGCAAATTCTAGGCTAGCCAGGGCCACACAGAGAGACCTTGTCTCTACGAAAACAATTCCAAATATCTCAAACACCTACAAAAAAATGTGGCTTCCTTGGTTTCAATTGGATTTTCAGTTGTTTCTTAGGTACTTTGTTTTGGAATACAGCGACTTGAGTGAGCGGCATATCAGGAAAGCTGTCTGCACTGGGCTATGTCCCAAGCCCTCACCTCAGTCTTTACATGGTGACAGAAATAATAATAATAATAATTCATGTCATGTTAAGTTTACAAATAAGTAGTTTTTCTAAATTTGTACAAATAATTCTGATCTTCCAACGTAAACTCTGTGCTGTTTTCTGCATGAAGCTTTCTTTTGAACTGTAGGTATTCTTTGTTATTTGAAATAAGTGTGCTCCGGCTTAAGATACAAAGTATTATGGACTATTTGTTACTTGCTCTGTGTTTAAGAATAATCATAAGCATTCTAACACTTACTAAGCTAAATATTTTTCCATAGAATTTCACTTTGGGTTATTCACTTGCTATAATCAGCAATAAAAGTCTTGACAGTTTTACTTTTTTTTTTTTTTTTTCGTTTATCCTGAATTTGAATAGGATATGGGGACTGTGGTCTTGGGAAAGCTGGAATCTGGATCTATTTGTAAAGGCCAGCAGCTTGTAATGATGCCAAATAAGGTAAGCATTTAGCATGTGTTGTCTTATTTAGTCTCTTGAAAATGTTCACAGAGCCCAGATTTTTCCAAAACTTAGGAATTTCCACTAAAACAAACAGGTAATATTTTACTACTAAAATATTGTTATTTAAAATAATAAGTAATAATTATTTTATTTATCTTAGGTGAAATTAAAGAATAAATAGAGGGCTGGGCAGTGGAGGCACAACTTTACTCTCAGCATTCAGGAGGCAGAGGCAGGGGGATCTCAGAGGACAGCTTGATCTGTAGAGTTCCAAGACAATCAGGAGCCAGCTTTAAAAAAAAATTAACAACAACAAAAACCCAGAGGTGTTTTTTTTTTTTTCTTTTTTTTTTTTGGTTTTTGTATTTTGTTTTTTGTTTTTGTTTTTTGTTTGTTTGTCTTTTAATCAGTGACAATTAAAGGGTTAGCTGACCCTGTTAGAAGGTACAACATGGGGCTAAAGAGATAAGAGTACTGCCTGCTCTTCCAGAGGTCCTGAATGCCCAACAACCACATGGTGGCTCACAACCATCTGTAATAGGATCTGATGCCCTCTTCTGGTGTGTCTGAAGACAGCTACAGTGTACTCACATACATATGATAAATAAATTTTTTTTTTTAAAGAATGTACAACATGAAGGTTTGAAACTATCAACCTATCCCATTCTTAATAGGGGCAAATAAAATAAGGGATTGGCAGTAGTTAGTAACTGCTTTGGTTAACAGCAAATTAAGTAAGCCATGGAAGAAAACTCAGGCTCTATCCTGGTGTGCCTCTGTGTCTCTGTGTCTGCGGTCCGTGTCATTCAGATGCCACAAAATAGTATGTCCATGACTGTACTTCCAGGGAGTTTTTTAAATTATTATTATTAATCTTTTGGGGTATTATTGTGGTTTTTTTTCTTTTTTTAAGATTTACTTACTTTATGCATATGAGTACACTGTAGCTGTCTTCACATTTGAAACATGAATCCAGTTTTGAATTGCTTAACAGTTCAATTGCTTAGCAGTGTTAACCTCACCCATTCATTTATGAACCTACTACTACCAGCTTTATGCTTAAAGATAGTAAATTTTAGGGGCTCAAGAGTTGGTTTGGTGATTGAGTGCTTGCTGCTGTTGCAGAGTCCCAGCACTTTGGGTGGTCGACAGATCTCCTTGTCTCTGCTTCCTTAATGTTTCTTGGCTTTCTGGGTACCTGGACTCAATTGGTATACATATCAATATAAATACAGCTTTTTTTTTTCCTGGTTTTTCGAGACAGGGTTTCTCTGTGTAGCCCTGGCTGTCCTGGAACTCACTCTGTAGACCAGGCTAGCCTCAAACTCTCGAACTCAGAAATCCGCCTGCCTGTGCCTCCCAAGTGCTGGGATTAAAGGCGTGTGCCACCACTGCCTGGCGCCTTAGGTATCTTTAAAAAAATAACATAAAAATTAATTAAGTCAGAGGCGGTAGCACACGCCTTTAATCCCAGTACCCAGGAGGCAGAAGCCAGCCTGGGCTACAAAGTGAGTTCTAGGGCTAAACAAACCCTGTTGAACCCCACCCCCCCCCCCCCAAAAAAAAAAAATTTAAGGGTTGGCAGTGTGGCTCAGTAGATAAAAGACTTGACCTTGACACCTAGAAACCACATAAAGGAAAAAGGAGAGAAACTCTCCACAGAGTTGTCCTCTGACCTCTTATCCACATGTACCCTGCACTCCAACCCCTACCCACACCCAAACAAGATGCATAATTAAAAACAAACAGATTGCTGGGCGATGGTGGCGCACGCCTTTAATCCCAGCACTTGGGAGGCACAGGCAGGCGGATTTCTGAGTTCGAAGCCAGCCTGGTCTACAAAGTGAGCTCCAGGACAGCCAAGGCTGCAAAGAAAAACCCTGTCTCGGGGAAAAAAACAAAACAAAACAGATCTTGTTAGTGAATTTAAAGCTAGATTTGATGATTTTTACTTTTGAGGTATTATAAAATTATACCAAGAAACAGATTGATGTTTTTAGTACTTTCTAGGTAAATACCTTTTGTTAATACATGTAATGCTGTGGTCCCATTTTCTGTATCACCCCTCCATCCTTCCCATGCAGGGCCATGGCCTATTGGTGAAACAAAAGAGAAAGTGATGTCAGTAACAATAATGAGCTGACCATAGCAGTACATGGCTGTCTGGTTCTTATTTTGTATATATGAATGTGTTGCCTACATCTGTGTATCATGTACACCTGGTGCCCACAGCAGCCATGGAGCCCTGGCTTTCCTAGAAGTGGAATTATAATTAGTTGTGAGCTACCAGTTGGGTGCTGGGAATTGATGAATGTGTCCTCTGGAAGAGCAGCAAATGCTCTTAATACCGTGTCAGTGTCATCTTTCCAGCCCACACAATGCATTTTTAAAATTCAGTTGTTAAAATAACTTTCTTTTTTTTTTTTTTTTTCCGGTTTTTCGAGACAGGGTTTCTCTGTGTAGCCCTGGCTGTCCTGGAACTCACTATGTAGACCAGGCTGGCCTCGAACTCAGAAATCCACCTGCCTCTGCCTCCCAAGTGCTGGGATTAAAGGCGTGCGCCACCACCGCCCGGCAAAATAACTTTCAGAAACACATGCTTAATTGAGGATTGACCTGCTGTGAGGAAATAATTTTTGAATTCTGAAACTTAGATTTAAAAGAGTTAAAAATCCAGTTATTAAATTTGATGTTTGTCTTAGTTTCCTGTGGCTGATAAAAATACCCTACGAAAAGCAACTCAAAGAGGCTGGAGAGGTGGCTCTGAACTTGTTTCATCAGCAGCTCAGGATGGCCTCCTAATTCCAGCTCTAGGAGATCCTATGCCCTCTTCTGGATGCCCTCCATAGACATTGCATACGTGACATTCTACACACAGAGATGAGCACACACTTATAAATAAATAAAAGTAATTTTCTAACAAAGCAATGAGGCTGGAGAGATGGCTTAGTGGTTAAGGAGTACTTATTGCTCTCGCTGACAACCAGGTTCAGTTCACAACAGGGACACAGTGGTTCTAGGGCATCTTGATGTTATCACTTCTGACCTTTGAGGGCATCAGGCACACATGTGGGGCGCATAAATACATTCAGGTAAAACACAAATGTATAAAATAAATAAATTTGGGGAGCTGAGCAAAGCAACTCAAGAGATCAAGGCTTTATTTCAGCTCTTAGTTAAAGGTTACAGTCCCTCATGGCAGGAAAATCAAGGCCATAGAATTTTGAAGCCATTGATCACAATTCATTTGCAATCAGTAAGAAAAGAAGGGTGAATACTAGTGTCCAGCTCACTTCTCCATGTTGTAGTGTAGGTCCCCAGTTCAGAGAATGACCCCAGCACAGTAAAGATGGTTCTTCCCACATCAGTTAACTTAAGGTAATTCTGTTAAAGCATATCCAGGGGCTGGTCCCTCCCAGATATGCCTGGACATTTTCCTCTTAGTGATTCCAGATCTTGTCAAGTTGACAGTACTAAGCATCACAGTATTTTAACTTTGAAAATGAAGTTTGTTCTGTATTCAATTTAGAAGTTGTTAGTATGAGATGTTTAAAAATAACAAGTTGTGACATTTGCAACCATGCAGCAGGTGGCAGAGTGCTTGTCTGATGAGCTCAAGGCACTGAGATTGCTCCCTTTCTTTTCCTCAAAAGTTTTATTTTTGGGTAAAATATTTTTATTTTGACTTGTGAAAAATGTGCATGTGTCAGAAAACCTCCAACTTTGGTTTCTTTTTAAGCACAATGTGGAAGTTCTTGGAATACTTTCTGATGATGTAGAAACGGACTCTGTAGCTCCAGGTGAAAACCTCAAAATCAGACTGAAAGGAATTGAAGAGGAAGAGATTCTTCCAGGATTCATCCTTTGTGATCTCAATAATCTTTGTCATTCTGGACGCACATTTGATGCCCAGGTAAAGAAGTTACTGCAGTCATCTTCATGGTTGTTAGAACTTAATTTCAATGCCTTTGTCCTGAGTATTTGTGACATGCCACATGACCAGTATCAGAGGAACTCATTTGTACATTACAACTATAGTATCTCAAAGTTTCAAGATGCTGTAAGAATTTACCAGGTGTTTTGTTTTTGTTTGTAAATTTCATTTTATTTTTGGCAGACCTGATATATCACCAATAAATGTTTAGCTTAAAATTTCCTTGATTTGACTACAGCATAGTTGTAAGCTCATTCAGAGCCAGTTTGTTTTCAGACTTGGGTCACACTTTTGTTTAACCTGATCTTGAGAGAGGAAGAACAAATGAGTGGTACCATTAACAGAGCTTTTTGAGTACTGTTAAACTGGAGCTAGGGAGATGGCTCGGTGGTTAAGAGTTCTTGCTCCAAGTACCTACAGGTTAGAACTGCCTATGATTCCAATTCCATGGGATCCAGCACCCTTTTCTAACCTTCTCATGCACTAAGTGGTGCACAGACAAAACATGCAGGCAAGACTTACACACATAAACTCAAATCTTAATCCTTTCCCACAAAAAGTTTGTTTTTGAATGCCAAATACATTGTAGTGCTTACTGACTGTGCCTTGAGTATTGAGAAATGGACAAGCTATGGGAGGATCACATCTAGGTACATGGGTGATACACAGTGAAGGCTGCTTAGAAAGAGTCTGCCTTTTGAAGTGACATCAGCCAGGCTCTTGCCTGTTTACATACAGGACAGTGGTTATGGTAGAGCTGAGGTTGGACAACTTGAATTATCCTGTCAACAAAGTAAGGTACAGTACAGTAAAGGAAAGTTACTTCTTGGGATATTATGCCTTTAGAACATTGAAGATAAAGTTATGAGGATTTTGTTTTGTTTTTAATTTGACAGATAGTGATTATAGAGCACAAGTCCATCATCTGCCCAGGGTATAATGCGGTGCTGCATATTCATACCTGTATTGAGGAAGTCGAAATAACAGTGAGTTTTGTTATTTATTTGAATTTTAAGAATGTTGTGTTCTGATAACTTCTGACTAGCAATATTGATGCAGTTATTTTTTTCCACTCTGGGAGGAGGGGTTTTGGTGGTACATGTGTAAAGGTTAGAGGACAACTTTTTGGAGTCATTTGTCTTCTTCCACTTTGGGGACCAAACTCAGGTCAAGAGATTTATGTGGCAAGTGCTTTTACCTGAAAAGCTAGCATGCTGTCTTTTGTTTTTGTTATTTTGAGACAGGGTCCGACTATGTAGCTTAGGCTGGCTTGGAACTCATCATCCTCCTGCTTTGGCTTCTCAAGTATTAGGGTTACAGGTATTCCCATGCCCAGGTTACATTTATTTATAGTTTTAGTGTTACTAACATTTTAATTTTTTTCTTATCCTCTTTTCTTGGCTAGGCCTTAATCTGCTTGGTAGACAAAAAATCAGGAGAAAAAAGTAAAACTCGACCCCGTTTTGTAAAACAAGATCAAGTATGCATTGCTCGTTTAAGGACAGCTGGAACCATCTGCCTGGAGACCTTTAAGGACTTCCCTCAGATGGGACGTTTTACCTTAAGAGATGAGGGTAAGAGTTTTTCAGTGTCTCTGATGTCAGGCTTTAGTAATCAAGTACTGTTCTTATTGCAGTAGATTCAAAGAAAACCCAGTTTTATGTTCTGTTCTTGAATAAACAACAGACTTGCCATACACTACCAGTAATGTTCTATGTAGAAAAGTTTTAATATTTTGTAATAGTTGGAAAAAATTAAATTTACTAAGACATTTCTATAATGAAGACTTTTATAGTAAATATGAAGAATACAAGGGTTATGTGGCTTGATTTTTTTTTTTTTTTAAATATGTAATTCACATTCTGGAGGGCATCCATTTCTGTATACCTTTGATTGATGCAGAATAGCTGTAATTTTCTTCTAATGGTCCAAAAATTCCTTGATATGAAAATGAAGAACATTTCTTTGTTGTCTTATGTTTCTAAAACTTTGTTTTTTTAAATGAGGTCTCAAGTAGTCCAAGCTGTCCTCAAACTTACTGTGTGCTCTCTGATGATCTCATGACCCTGAACTTCTGATCTTCCTGCCTCTGCTTTGCAAGTGCTAGACACATGCCGGCAGCACTACATAGGCCACGATGTATCCCCAGCACCCCCCAGTACCATGTGTTGTTTTGAAGCAGGATGTCAGTAGTGGAGCCTATGCTAGCCTCCAACTCATTGTAGTCCTGCTGCCTTGGCTTCCTGAGTGCTGGGATTACAAGTGTGAATCCCCATGTCTGGCAACTAGGAAACTACATAAAGCTCTGTAGTTAAACAGAAAATACAGATAACCACTTAACATGGTACTTTCCAATATTAAACTGTGGGTAGAGAATACAGTATAAAACTCTGTTACTTTTTTCCCAAAAGCTTGACTAGGTCATGGCTTCACTGTAAACACTTTATCTTCTACACTTGTTGATAGTGACATTTTTATATTTAATATTTTAACAGGTTTTTGCTTGCTTGTTTGTTTTTGAGGCATCCTTAAAACAAAAAAAGGTCTCATCCAGCTAGCCTTGAACTCAAGATTCCAAGTGCTAGAGTTATAGGTATTTGCCATGTGCCTAGTTCTAAATAATTTTGCCCTGTGTCTAGAAAGCCTGGCAAAATTTAACAGGAAGAAGAAGAGAAAGTAAGGATGCAGGAAGATAAGTGTTTAGGCTTTTCATGAGTTCTAGATCATGAACCATGAATGTGGGTTTGTACTTTTATCCCCTTTAGTTCACAGATACGCTTCTGGAGAATGTTTTCACGGAGCCACATGCTCTATCTTTATAATCACGTAGGGATAGGGTTTTTTTTTTGTTGCTATATAGATATATGTGGCCTTTTCTGTTTTCTTTTAAGTTTAGCCATGTTTTTTAATATACTGTAATTTATTAATTTTATCATCAAGTGTTATTCTGTTGTGGTAGGCTACTTTACTTCCTAGTAAGACTCTTTTAAAATGACCTAACCAAATGTGAACAAAGGTATTAAATCAGGAATTTGCACAATCACAAAATTTTCTTTTGGTTAATAATCTTAATACATTACATAAACTTGTTAACTACTGAAAAGACATTTTTTTTTCCTCAAAATTTCATTTCTAGGTAAGACCATTGCAATTGGAAAAGTTCTGAAACTGGTTCCAGAGAAAGACTAAGCATTTCCTTGATGACCCTGCACAATACTGTGAGGAAAATTGACTGCAAAAGCCTACTTCACACCACCTTCTCTTACTTTCTGCCCATTGACAAACCTCCCCATATTTTGCAAAGAAAATTCACAGCAAAAGTCCACATTATGTCAGCTTTCTCATATTGAGAGCTCTGCTATGCCACTGTTGAATTTTCCCAAAATTTTGCCCCCCTTTCAAACTTCGCTTCCTTGGACAGATTTGGCAATAGCTTTGTAAGTGATGTGGACATAATTGCCTACAATAATGAAAACCTACAGGAATTTTTTTATTTTTCATTTTCCCTTTAGGCATAGTTAGTCTTTTTTCCCCCAGGCAGATCATTCTGAGTGTGCGAGTGTGTGTGCACATGTTAAAAAGACAACTACCATGTTAATAAAATATTCAATTTGAAACCCTTTCGGTATTTGAATTGCTTTTGAATACTGTTTTTTATCTTAATGTAACATTGTTGCATTAGCTTTTTAACTGCCAAGTAATTGAATACACTTTATTACTTGGATTTTTCTAAACTCTCCCTACCCACTCACTTTAAATGAAGCATTTACAAACACTGCTCAAGTTTGTACTAAAGGAAAGCTTTTGTTTGACCCCTTGTATTGATGGTTAATGCATACGTAAGCACCTTTATGCAAGTGTAACACTGCTTTACTAACTAGGTCTATTGGTTATTTTCTGCCAATTTATATTTTAGTATTTCTTAAACACAGTTAAGTTGTTTGGAAATTTAAAAAAAAAAAACAGCATTACTATCCACTTTATAAGTAAAGCTTAATGAAACTATATCCCTACAGACAACTCCATTAGGTTGTTACATTAATGGAATTCACAGTAAAAGCATGTTGAGACTGGCAAACAAACACCCTTTCATTTCTCTAGTTGCTGCATGCATCCAGTATGAAACCTTATCAGTTCCATGTTAATCACATTGTCAGTAACATTGAAGGATGAAGAGCCTCACTGCTTCATGCAATTTCTCAGTCCCGTGACTAAATGAACATATTTAAAACTGCTCACACTAACATGAACAGGAATAAATAGAATCAAGCACAGAATAGGTTTTTATCTCAATTATTTCTTAACTATAAACTGGAATTTGCTAACCATGATTTGGAAGAACCACAGTGCAGCATTGTGGTGTGGTGGTTTCAGCTCAAAGGGTGACTTTCTACTACAGCTATCATGCCTGAAATTTTTCGTGAGAATGAATGGGAAGTGGAAGAGGTTTGTCAGAGATCTCTTTTATGTAGAGTGTGTGCTTCCATGTGTGAGATTTGGCCTCTTTTATGTTATGATTCCTAAGATATGTTCTAATGATATATTTAATGGTATGGCCCATCCCTGTAATCTTGTTCTGCAGAAAATTAAAGCCTAGCCAACTGTATTTCCAGTCACAAAACAAAATACAGTGAAATGCCAACTGCAGAGACAGGGCTAAGGTAGTTCCTACAGCTCCTTTGAACTACACCTATGGCTATTAAATTGCATGAAATTGAAAATTTAGGATATCTGGATATCTGCAGATATCTGGGCTTTTATTTTTCTGTGCTATATGGAAGCTCTAATGAGAACAAAATACTTCTTATATTTCCATGCTAATAAGGAAAAATATTAGCAAATGCTTGGGTCTTAATGAATCTTTAGAACCTTTGAGTCACTGAAATTATTTCCAAAGATTTCCCTTTTGAAATTAAACATATCTTTAAAAACAAGTTATGTCCACTATTAACACTTAACACTGTTGAGAATGTTGTGTGCATGTTGCCAAGGTTCTTAAGTGAAGCAACTTGGCCAGCACCTGTGAAAGGCCTACCTCTACATGGTAATATAAGGACAAAGGTAATTCTAAAAAGTTTTCATTGGAATTCTATCACATCAACAGGATTAATCAACACCATACATTCTTAGGGACTTTGAAGATTGAAAGAGTATGTGTCTCCATTTAGACCCATCCGTTTTAAAGCAGTGGTTATATATCAGATTATCATTTCAATAAGGAGATAAAATGTCTGAAGTAAACATGAAATGTATGCAGATGATGGGTTTTTAAAGAGCAATACAGTTTGTGTTATCATTCTGCCTTCTGCAAGTATGAACTGTTTATGCGGTTGACAGTGCAAAAGAGGATAGCTCCACATTCTGGGGTGTAAAGATCTTATGGTTTTCAGCTATACTTAACATAGGCATGTTAGCATCATGATTTAGTTTGCCCCATTTTACATTAATGATCATCATACGACTTTTATGCTGTTATTTAATCTTTCAAGTAAATATATTGATTTTTAAGAGATGGTATTTAAAAACATAATTGTCATCTCTTCCTTACTGTCTGTGGAAGAAGCATGACATTTTTTTGTTGTTCATACATAATTTGCTGTCCATTTTGGGGGGCATATATAAAACCAAACCATAAGAAATTGAACTGAGTGTATACTGGCTGAAATTTAATGACAAAGCAATTTGTAAGTGATTAAAAATCTTGAAATACATGGTAATTGTGTGTACAAAAATTGTAAACTGAAGTACAAGCTATTTTCTGTAACAAGGTTCATGTTTGTCTGCTATTTCTGAAACCACTAGACCCTCTTTGTGGGACTTTGAAAGTTTGGCTGGACAATTCCTGTCATCAGTTGAAGTGCTGCAAATATTTTGGCTTAGACTTCCAACCAGATACAGTTTTACAACTTAGGAATCCATGATGAACATTTCGGAAAAAAAGTCACCCAAACTCCCTTGGCCATCTCCAGGAATACTAGTAATTCCTCCATGATCTTGGCTGACGGTTTACACATGACAGCACTCTAGCACCTTTGCTCACTGATTGCTGCTTCATTGAATGATGACTTCATTGCTTTGGGTAGAGATTTAGATAATCAAGGGACAAAGCTGTAGCTTTTAATGTTAGGCAACTTCCAACTTTTAGAACATTTGTGAAAATTCCAGTTACAGTACTATAACTGACTGTAGAATGATTAGATGTTATATTCATTGTTGGCCTACCTTATTAGAATAAACTGTTCAATTAATCCTCTCACAGACCTATATGTAAAGTAGATAGCAGCCAATTGTATTTTGGGGATTATCTCCAAATACTGTATTTATTTCTTCCAGCTCATTTTTCAGTGATTGTAACAAATGCCATCTAATCATGATCATGTTTCTTAAGAGATCTTGCCACAGCAGCAACTTGGTAAATAAGTATAATTACATATGCACAACTCATAACTTAATGGTTTAAATTTAACAATTGATTAGATTCTGTAGTATGCAGAATAGAAAGTGTTTACTTTCTAGTAGTATTTTAGTCAATTGCATTTCAACCAACTTATTGCCAGAATTCAGTTAGGGTAGATTTGATACTTGATGGGTTTTGTTCTAGGATATTCTTAACTTTTAGAATCCTAGAACTTAATGAGTCTTCCCTTCAATAAATATACTTCTCACATACCTCTAATCCTATGCTTCCTTGAAACAATAATATGCTAGCCAAGTGGTTTACTAAGGATTATTATGAGGGCATGGAGGTACTGGGAGGGGTAAAGATAGAAAGCTTGTTCTCCAATGCAAGGAAAAAGTAAATAGGCACTAAGCCTGAACAGGCAGAAAACACGGATTTATTTCTTAAGTAGCCTGAAACAGTATTGCTTTTTCTGCCTTTTCACATATGCCACTGTGCCCTTTAAATCTTGACCTGGAAACCTCAGGCTTGTGGACTGCACAGGAAATGGCTTTTTGTGTTTCCTGAAGCTCCCCTTTGCTAGGTACATTAGCTTAGTGCTTCAGATGTCAGCCAGAGTCCTTGCTACCTCCATTTGCTGCCCGGGGAAGAATCTGCTGGAGCTGGATGGAGCTCTGGCCCTCCTCAGGTGATGGTCTTCACCTTCATTTCTTCCACATGCATTAGGTGAAACTGAGGTCTGAGCCTGCAAGTCTGCATTTTAAGGGACATGTTGGGATCTCAGTAATGCACACACTTCTTAACTAGTTTTAAAGGAGAAATATGGATCTCTCAGGCCAGGATTTAGTGACTAATTATTACTTACCGGGTTAATACCTAGAGCCCATCTTAAAAGAAAACAAGATTCATGAGAACTAGCTAGGTTTGATAGGTTTTTAGCCTAATTCCAAAGCACGGATGAGTGTTGTAGGTAGGAAAGAAACTCTCATGATTTGTAGCTACCTACTGTGCCTGACTTGGTGCCTGTGTGAGGACTAAGCCCTTTGTCTGCTCTTGCAATTACTCAAATGACTGAAGTTTAAAATTTTTGTTTTGTAACAATAAAAATTGTCATCTTTCCTTTTCATGTGCTTGTCTGTCTTTGTAATCACATGGCTGTACTCTGTGCTACTTTCTCTATAATATTTTTGTATCAGGTATTGGAAATATCTAGCAGACTTGTTGGACGGATGGACCTAACAGGCTGTTACCTCAGAATTTAAAACATGTTTGCTTGGTGTTTGAGGCTTTTGTATGGTTATGCAGTGACCTTACAGAACAGAAGCAACCCTCCAGGAAGGGCTATGAGAGACACCTGATAATAACATCACAGTGTGGTTTTCTATAAACAGCAGAATTGGAGAGATTGATGATTCTGTCCAAGCTATGAACCTTAAAAATTTAGGATTTTTAATAAAGATCAAGAGACCAAATGGCATGTGGCCTTTTTTTATTGTGCAAGGGTGAGTGTAGAGCTAGTATATACAGTGGTTAACTGAATGACAGCAGTGTGTCTATTGTACACTCATTTTTGATGAGGGAAGGTTGAGACAATCTCCTTGTGTAGCTTCAAATTTGTGATCTTTCAGCTTCTGCTTCCGTATTGCTGGGACTACAGGTATGCACCCCCACAGCCTGACTCACACACATAGTTCATATCTTGAGACAGCGAGTTGCTACTTCAACTGTGAACGGCCAGAATTTTGCTACTGAGTCTGATGTTAAACCACTCTTAGCTTAAACTTTGTAAGCAAGAGTGTGATAAAGCAGGGCTCCTAAAAGTTCTAAATAGGGGCTAGAGGGATTGCTCATCAACTAACAGCACTTGCTTTAAAGGACCCAGAGTTTGTTTCCACCAAATCAGAACACACAAATGGCCTTAACTCCAGTTCCAGGGGATCTGATACCTCTAGACTGCTCAGACACTCAAAAGCATGTGGCACATGCATACACATTAAGTTACTAGAAATTTTTTAAGAAACAATGGGACATTTCATAGCAATCACATTTTTCTTTTTGTTTTGGGGACAGGGTCCCCAAAAACTATGTATCCCTAGCTGTATGGAGATCAGGCTGTTCTCGAACTCAAGATTTATCTAGCTTAGCTTCCCAAGTAACAGGTTTTTCTTAAAAAACAAAAACCCCACAATGTCATGTGTTCTGGCCTGGCCTTGAATTTCTGC